AACTTGTAATGAATCGATGGGAGAAATATGTGAATAATTTTGTATTGGATATTGAATTAGCAAAAAAACGCAAAACAGCAGCAGCAAATGTGATTAAATATGCCTTTAAAGTTTGGGGCATGAAAAAGCGAAATATACCTAAATCATCTATTCGATATTTTCAAGCTCAACGACGACTATTTCAGTCAATACATTCACTTCATCAAGTTAAACAACAACAAGGACAACTAGTCGACAATTGTGTTGATCAAATCGATATAATCGCTTTACAACGTCAAACAGGAACTCAAACATCTGAAATTACAGAAGAATTAAAGATGATGAAGCTTAACATACTTAGAATGGAAAAAAGACTTGTTACGATGAACATAAATATAAACAATACAATAAACGATATGCAAAACACATTGAATGTGTTGTTGGAAAAACGTTCAAAATAATATATTGATTATTAATATTTTATTTGTTCATGTTTATAACAGTACCAACGCTTCTTTTTTTAGACTAATCTAATCTTGTTTAAGTTTTTAATTCTGTTATTTTGTCTTATCAAATAATACTAATATTTGTTTAAAGTAGCAACTAAGTAGCCTGTAAATCAGTTTCATGAGATTATTAATCAAATTACATTTTGTATAATTTCACTGAAACATATCACATCAAAAATTTGATTGGCAGTTTGTTATGAAAATCAGCAAGCTATCACAGCAAATCGATCATTTCATATCATCAATGAATCTAATCAAGTAATTATTCAAATTAGTAGACACATTTACTGAACATTCATCAAGTTAACATTTTCAATATTTATGGTTGCTGTTTCTTCTATTCCATTTAAACATATCATTATATGGTTAGAGCAAAAATCTTCATTTTGATAAATTAATAAATGAAATAACTGGCAATGACGACTGGCCTACACTTGGTTAAGTTGAAGTAGCTACAATCATCATGATAGATTTTAGTTATATAAGAGTTAGTTTTCCGATTATTTTAGTTAATCGCTATCGGATATTTTTTTTATCACTTTTACTACTGGTTACAGATGCAAACCGATGGAATAATGAGAAAAACCATAATTTTTCTATATTTGCTGAATTCAATATAACTGAATGCATTCATAACAAAAAACAACGAATCTGAATCAAACCTTGTGATCGGTTCTGTAGATAGAGTCTATTAAGTCTGTTGTCTAATAAAAGGTTTAGCTGTGGATGAGTGTCGATGGAGAGAAGAATCAGACTCAGACCTACATCCACAATCAGGCCCCGCGCGAGCGAGGGGTTTAGGGGGAGTGCATTCCCCAAAAATAAAAATTTTTCAGTTTTATCCGGCCACAAGAGCAGATTTTGTCCACATTTTATGATTTTTCTGCAAGATTTTTTTTGAAAATACTCTCTTACACCCCCCTAATATTTGATCCTTCGCGCGGGCCTTGTCCACAATCTAAGTTGATTACGAACTAAGATAGTATCCAATCGATTTTGTAATGAACTAATCAAGTATAATGATATGTGATACATACAGCTATTAATATTCATTCAGAGTCTTTTTTTCAGTTATAAATCTCTGCGACGATATTCAAAGCGACGAAATATGTTAATTCAAATACATTACTCTTTTCTTCCCTACTTTTTAGTTTTGACAGCTTTACTCCTCGATATTTTTGCGATAAACTCAACTTTGATCGACAGGACGTCATTATTGAACAATCAATATCGACTAATGTAATATCGGTGTGCAGTTGAAGTGAAAGCACACCCAATTTTAATTGCAAGTTATCATAGTAGAATAAATTCTTGTATTTATTGAAGCCACTGACATAGATCTGATTTGATTAATTTTATCAAAGCTGAAGAAAAATGTGTACAGAATATTACAATCCAATAGTCTTCTTCAAATAACCACGTTGTATAATTGATACAATAATTATTCTATTACGACATTTGATCTTTCTTTCAACGATTTGTCTTCTATACTAGAACATAAAAACAATCATCGTACAATAGCAATATTAGTCGAGGTCGATGAGTTAACATTTTAGTGTATTTTTGCTTGTCTTTTTTTAATTTTTCGAACGAGACAATATTCAAAAGTCTTCATCTCAATTTTCGACATTTTTCTATTCGGTCAAAGTTGGAACAATCATTTTTTTTTCTTGACCTTTTCACATCACACCAATGTAAAAATTTAGAAATTTAGAAATTTTAAATAACGGAAAATGACCGTTAGCATTCGGTTTGAAATTACTGTCTTGAGGATAATGATGGCAAAATTTTTCAATCAAACTAGAATTTCTTCTATGTACAGATATTGATTTAAACACGATTGTCTTCTTACGTAATATAACATAGTGATGTTGGGATTCCGGATCTTCGCCAATAAAACTTTCGCCAAATAGCACTTTCGCCAATGGCGAAACTCCACTATACTTTCGCCAATAGACACACGGGAATATCGCCAATTGGCGAATGTCCACTGTACTTTCGCCAACACACTTCATGGAGTTTCGCCAGTTGGCGAAAGTATAGGAGACTTTCGTCAATTTAAGTGCTAATTAGACGTGAATTAGAAAATGTTCATCGACTATATTAATAAGCGTAAGCTATAGTATATATTCTAACAGTATTAGCTTTAGCCCTTACATGTATCCTGTATTAATATTATTTTGTGACGGCTGACAAAACTCCACTATACTTTCGTCAATTGGCGAACGTCCGCTGTACTTTCGCCAATACATACCTTGGAATTTCGTCAATTGGCGAAAGTCTACCGTACCTTCGCCAACACATCCCTGTACTTTCGCCATTGGCGAATGTCCTATTGGCGAAAGTCCGAATTGGCGATCTTCCGGTAACCCGTGATGTTATATCCTATTAGTAATTTGTGAAATTTATGCTATATAATTTTTATTAACTGCATACAGCTATTTTAAACACTACTACGGACAAGGTAATAATGCTTTATATTATTTGTGTTTTTTGACGATCATATACATAATTTTATTTTCTGAACTATAAACTTGATAATAGAAAGAAAAAAAGAGATTATGGGTCAATCAATGAATCAATTGATTCTAACAGATCATTCGCCTGTATTACACGTCCATGATTATTTCCATAATGAAGTATAGTATCCATTAATCGTAATGCTTCATTTAAATAGTTCCGAGCCAAACTTCGATCATCTGATCGTTTATATGATTCACCAATATTAAGCAATAATTGTGACAATTCATCAGCTATTCGTTCATATACATTATCAATCAAATTCATAACATCTTTGACTTTATCAAACTCTTCTTTTAAACGACGATGTTGATTAACATTGGCACAGAATATGTATATGCTATGAATATTTTCGTAAGAATGTCTGGAAGGAACAATTTGTTGACCATTTTGTCCAGACATAATAAGAAAAATTTGAGTTTTTGGATTATCATCTAAAAAGTCATATAATTCCTGTGGAGTTACAAAATAATGCCATTGTTCAATAAATGATGATAACCGAGCAAAGCGTTGTTTGATGTCTAGATGAGTACCATTGCGACCAATTTCTTGATCAACCCAAACACCGATGATAGGTGGACGACGATGACTAGTCAAATTATTGACCGCCATTTCTTCTTATATAAAATTTTTCATAGTTGATTTCAGATTTATATAGTATATTAAATAAGTTGGAAAAATCTACCGTCATAGAAAGAAAAGTCTTTTATTTACTATGAATCATTTTTTTTTCAGAACTGCGACATTTATTATTAAATGTGACCTATTTTCTTCCGCATATTCTTTCGCTCTTGTTAGTCAATCACAACTAACGTTTTTTTTTTGTCAGTTCTATTCTCACAAAGAAAACCGACTAACAAGAGGACGTATTATGTCTCTTATGGCACACGAACGAAAGAGAACATGGAAAAGATTAAATAACCAATCGAAGGCGATATAAGTGACAAGAAGCAGTAACTCACAGATAGCGCCACTACTTAACAACTCTTTCTTGTGTTTACCTATCTACTTGATAAACTTATCTTTTTGTACATAAACAACAAAACAAGAAAGAACAATTCCTTGAGTCAACAAAACCATTGACATGACATCATTCTACTTATCTTTCAATAGATGCATATCATTGAAAAGAACGTTGTTGCAATCGATGATTTGATTGAGCTGAAAAACAAATTTCTTGAGAAAATTGTATGTAATCTGACAATGTCAACTTCACTTTTAATGAGGATCATATTTTTCTAATGTTATTGCAACGGATACTTCTCATAATTGCAAACATGAAGAAAACTAATTTTAAGTGAAATAAAATTATTTTAAATTTTCGGCTGAAGTAAAAGTGGCACTTTTATTATCTAGTTTTTTAAAATAAGTAGATTTGATAGTTAAGTTTTATAGATTTAATTAATGAAAGCACATATCGAAAATAAATCGTTTTAAAACATTTTAATGAAAAATCTTAACGGATGGGATGAAATTTATAAAGGACATAAGCTTTTAATGAAAAAAAAGGTTTGATTGAGGTAGATTTTAGGTGATAATGTAGAAAACTGTACATAGTTCCATAGTATAAGGAATAGTATGATGCTTTTTCTATAAATAGTCTTTATTAAATGTTATATGAGATACAATTATACATATATAATAAGTGGTGTTGAAATTTATCTAAGTTTTCAAGTCAATTATTATTATTATCGGCTGAATGTATGATGAATTTGATGAAATAGAACTAAATATTTTGGATAGATATTTTGATTAACTGTGTGTAAGTGTGTGTGAAAAGAAGATGCTCACTAACATCCATATTTCAAAGTCCTCTTCATTATTTTTTTATTTTTGTATATCAATTTTCTTGCACTTCAACTAGTTTTTGTTCATTCGAGTATGGCTAATGAACTCTATAAATTACAGTTAGTTAAAAATAAAACTGAAGGTGAAAGTTTGCTTAAAATTATTATTAGTAAATTTTAAAAAATTTGTTTCGATTTTATGGTCGCAAATGAGAACACATGCATTGCAACACATCCTAGTAAAGTTATACATAGGCCAGTATTCATAAAGTAACCACATTAGAAAATGCTGCAAGTAACTATCAGTGGTTCATGTACTGGAATCTGAATTTGACAATTGAATATTTGTCTTTCAATATTGAATATTTCGCCAGTATTTATATATAATTTGTGTCGACTCGGATGATTAATGTAAAATTACTCATAAGGCTATATTCTCTTTAGTATTATTGTATTACAATCATGTTATTTAAGTATAAAACCATCAATACAATACAAGAATACGTACAATCAAATTTTTCAGAGATACAATCAGTTCCAAAACCAGAAACATTTTCTATCTCACGTACAAAACCAAAATATCTGCGTTTATTTCAAAACAATATTTTTTTTATATCGTTTCTTATTATTATGCGTCTGAATTTCGATAGTTTATTATAATTCATTTCAAAGCCCAGATATTTGAACGATAACAAAAAAGTGAAATGTTCGAAATCTAGTATATATTGTTCAAATGACGTGTCTAGAATATTTCCCCTTACACTTATTGATGAGAAGACATTAAAGCAAATTAAGGTGAAAATAAATGACGTCATGTATCAACATGGGAAGCGATTGGATTTTGAATGAGTATGTGATAGTGACTAATTATTGTTGTCTACGTTTTCAACGAGTGAATACTCCTGTGCTAGGCTGTTTTTTTCCCCTTTGACGCTTGGTGATGAGAAGACGATAAAGTAAATGAAGGTGAAAAGAAATAACATCGACTATCAATCAACATAACGAAGAATCTGATTATGAATAAGTAAGTAATCTTGACTAATAATTGTTGCCTACGTTTGTAAAAAAAGGGATGGTCCTTTTCTATATGGAAAAAATCGTAAGTGGCTAAATCCCGAATACATCATTTGGATAACATATATATAGGCAGGAGAGATGATCGCTGATCAAGCAAAAACAACAATCAAATACAAACGTTTTACTTTGATAGTAAGTAAACTGTTCTATTCACTATACGACGATGCTATGAGAGAAAATGTCCGAGAGTAAAAAAAAAAAGAGTAGAAGCTACCATAAACATAGTATAAAAAACGAACAAAAGAGCTAATCCATGATCAGTTAACCTAATGGATAAAGAATATCATTCAAAAATTAAGAGAAATAAGTTAAACAAAGATTATACTTCTTTGTCAATTTGTTTTCCCAGTTTCCTCAAAAAGAATCCAATTTTTTAAAAGAATAAATTAAGCTTTTTCCATAGACCAATATGTGAAAGGTTCATCAGTGGGAATTAGTATTTCGTTAAATTAACTATTTTCCTTTAACGAATCTTTCTATTAGATTTCATGTCAAGTGTAACAATTTTTTCGCTTTCACACAGGTTTTCGGTATATTATTTGAAACAAAATGGACAACTGTATATGTTCACTGCTGAGCCATTCCTATTATTGTACACATTAATGTTCTATTTCAGTTGTGTTGATGTGACTGATTAAGTGCTAACTACTTTAAGATCTTTTTTAGAACATTATCTGAAATATGTTTCCTCTGGACATGCATCTTCAAGAGTTGAATGACTAATAGAGTATTTTCATCAGATTTTTATAACGTCCTACAAAAATATTTCCCATCAATGTGAAAATTGCAGTGTTTGTAGAACTCGAGCTATCTATAGTTTTGATAAAAATAAATTTGAGAAAGTATGATCACATCCAGGAATGCAAATGTTTGCCATTTCCTATGAAGCTGGCACACACATTTTTGGATGCTCGTATATTTTTGCGAATCTAATTACATAGAAATGATCGCTAGTCTTAACTCTATAAATGCTGATATTATCACATTGATACGAGACAATTCATGTAAATATGATAGACATATATTGGAACCAATTAGTTAAAGAAACAATAGGAATCCAAATTATTTTATGGTTCTTTCTAGGGTACTATATAATATCTATAGACAAAGGATCATTCAAATTGGAGGAAAACATCCGAGGACTTTCATTCGATAGCTGTTTTTCTAATTAAACTTCTTTTATAGTTAGCAGGCTTGAATTTGAAGTTGCTTCAAACTTAACGAAAAAATAATTGGTCAAACCATAGCAACTTATTTCTTTTTTTTAATAGTAACTTTGAAACAAAAATATGAGAAAAGACGCACTTTTTGTCGTCAAGATGAATATCTACTTCATTGTCTTTATCTGTTATACTCCAACGTTATTCGCAGCACGCACTTTTCATATCAATAATCAATGTAATCAAAAAATATGGCTTGGTATACAAGGTCAACCTTTGATTTACTCTGGTGGAATTGAAGTTGAAGCTAGGTCAACAAAAGATATCAGCGTACCAGACGGATGGGTAAGGATATATGCGCCTAATCATAGTTTTTCGCTTTTCGCTAGACCATAATTACAAAATGTCATTTTGTAGGTTGCCGGACGTATTTGGCCAAGAACAAATTGTCGAGACGTCAATGGCAAATTTACATGTAGTACAGGTTAGTGATTGATAAAGAAGTAGTATTCGATAGTAAAACGTATTGATGTGTAGGCGACTGCGGTGCACCAGCAAATGGATTTCGTATGACATGCAATGGAATAGGTGGCCAGCCACCAGCAACACTTGCCGAATTCACTCTAAATGGATGGGGTGGTTCAGATTATTATGATGTATCGAATGTCGATGGTAATTCGATGAGCATGACCATTCGACCCATTCCTGGTCAGTACACTTCAGTTAATAATCCGTCATTGGGAAAATACAATTGTGGCGGGGTAAGTTAATTGGTGTATTTGACAATGAAAAAAGAGTTTTCAAAAACTTCGATACTTGACAATATTCGATTCTAAATGTGTTATCACAATGAATTTTCTCAGCACGTTTTCGAGTAGATTACTACGAACAGCAGAGAACTATCGAAGACATGAAACCAGCGCGATAGTTTGTTTTTTTTTTCAAGAAAAAAAAGCAAGATTAAATTTGAAATACAGTTCAAAAAATAGATTTCAAAGAATGAAAAATATGAGGCCGAAAACATTATAGAAGCATAATTGCACGTCAGTCGATGTGTATATATTATTGTTAATTGCATTTGTAGCATTTGCTCATTCATTCTTGTTTAGGCGACGTGTATATTTGATCCAAATAAATGCCCTCCAGAATTGCAAATGGACGATGGAACAGGTCGTAAAGTATGTGCTAGTATCTGTGCTGCAATTTACAATACCGAACAACGAGCACGATTTGTTCATCTTCAAAATATTTACAATAATCCAGATACTCGTTCGCTCGTTTGTTGTTCATGTGAAGGAAATCATTGTGTATGTAATATGCGTAGCTTAACAATAAGCCTATACTGCTTTCTTAATTATAGGTATCACCATATGACAATGTAACACCGGGTGGTAAATGTTATGTGGAACAATGGCCACGATCGACACAAAATACACGTTATGATCAAGTTTTTAAATCTCAATGTCCCGATGCCTATTCGTGGGCATTCGACGATCTTGCTAGTAAGAATACGTACATATGACTTGAATTTTGTCTACATTGTATTAATTTCTGCAGGCACATATCAATGTTCAAAAGCAAATTATGAAATTATTCTTTGTCCTAGTGATAGTTCAGGTGGATCAGGAGGTGGTGGTTCAACCATCCAATGGAACGGAAATAATTGGGCTCTGTCATGTGATTTCCGTGGAAACGATCTCTCTAACGTCAAAAGTTCAGGACAACTTTGTAGTGAAAACTGTGCAAAAACTCAAGGATGCACTCATTATACATGGACTCAATACAATGGTGGTACTTGTTGGATGAAATCGGGTGCAGTTTCCAAAAGCGATGCCATTTCAACCAGTGATTCATCTATGGTCTGTGGTGTATTGAGCGACAGTCAACAAGGAGGTGGTTCAACCATCCAATGGAACGGAAATAATTGGGCTATGTCATGTGATTTCCATGGAAACGATCTCTCTAACGTCCTAGTTACACCAGAACGTTGTGGTGGAATGTGTGCTCAAACTCAAGGATGCACTCACTTTACATGGACTCAATACAGAGGCGGTACTTGTTGGATGAAATCGGGTGCAGCTTCCAAAAGCGATGCCTTTTCAACCAGTGATCCAACGATGGTCTGTGGTGTGATTTAATAATTTCTGAGTAAAATATCTTGGCATAAAAACTTTTCTAATCTTATATTTTCACATATTGTCTATTTTTGATATTTCATAACCAATATAAATATTTTATCCTTTACTTCAATATAAAAGGTCACATCCTAATACAGCGTGTATGTACATCGCTACTTTTGAAGCAGCTAACTATTGAGAGTCAATTGTTGATTACTATTTTGCAAAAGCCAATGCATACTTTTGAAAATGTGCAGTACTTATTGATGCTACTGCAAAGCGCCATCACCATCACGCTCAGAGGTGATTTCAACATTTGATTCGCTACATCAGAACCTTTGAATGCGTAGAAAATGTGAATATCATATTCGACAGGCTTTGTAGCATAATATGTATTATGCTGATCTTTAGGCAAGTTGTGAGTTATCACATCGTGCTTAAAAGTGACGATTGTGAAGGTGTTCTTTTGATCGAATGTTAGCAACAGCTCATCACAGACATAATCGACATCTTAGCAATGTCTTTTCTCTCCGCCACATACACTGTAGCTGCATTTTCTCCAAGTGATTAACAACACTGATTGTCTTTTGTTGCACATTTTAATTATACAAGGATTACTCTAAGAACTTTTTAATTTAAAAGAATTCTTTTATCGAAATTTGAGATAATCAAAAGTGAATTAGTTGTTATTTATGAGTTCAGGTAACCATTCAATTTTACTCGAAAAAGAATACAGTTGCAAAGGATAGATAAAAAAATTTAATTCTTTATTACAACTTCTTTTCAGTATGTTTCATTTAATTACATTATTTTGCTTTATTGCATTGATTCAATTCAGTTTTGTACATTCTAATGCATAAATACTTTGCTAGATCATCTGTGACAAAATGACGATGACTACTACGCTGAGTACTGATTCTTTCACTTATAAGGAAGTCTGTAGGGAATTTTTCGAATGAATACTCGACAAAGTATACAAAAAATATACATACACATAAAAATGCTCGATTACTTATGAAAATAATTTGAGTATTCGCACTGGCAAGTCGTACTCGTTGTATGATTATTTTCATTGAGACATGAATCGTAAATATATTTATCATTACTTATCACCAAAACAAGACATATATCGACTATTGACACATGACATTAATATACATAATACAAAGATTTATATTATGTGAGCTGATAAAAGTATATTATTTCATTTTTTTTTCAAGACATTCTCTTTCGATACTAAGCTCACATAATAGCTATCGAAAGGATAAAAAATTCTTTGATATAAAGTATATTGAATATGATATTGAAAATCAATCATACACAATTATCTTATTTGCCTCTTTTAATAAATTGAATTGCTGTTCAGTAGGTTTTTAAAGAGAAACTATAATTTCCGATAAAATAACATTCTATCCTAGTAAGATTTTACACATATATGTGTAACACACCTGTTGAGCTCATTCTTATTTTTCATTCCTTCTGTCTTTTTTATGATCAGTAATAATAGATTTTCGGAAAGGTGAAGTTTGACAAAGGTTTAGTCATCTTTTTTTCATAGCAACCTTTTTGATTTTTAAAAATAAATAATACTCGTTAAAACTCAATTCATCAATTTTGATGACGACTATCAATATCATTGAAGATGATCAGCATTGTCATTCAACAATGATTATCGTGGAACTTTTTATCTTAATAATATTATTGAGTGGCAAATAAAATCTGTCATGATACTAATTCATGAAAAAAATCGATGTCTCTTTTGTTTTATTGAAAAAGAATAACTCAAATCAATATTGATCATATATATTATTTATTAGAAATGATAAAAGATTTTTTTATTCAAAGATATCAGTACCAAATATTCAATGAGCAAAAATAAAGATCAACTACACATAGTTGTCCGAATATAACAAGTTATTTATCATTGAAACAACAGAATAAACTTCCTACACTGATTGTACATAAACAAAGCCAAAGTTAGAGTTTGTGGAACTTACATCAACAGACAAACGCATTAAACACCATTAACAAAATGACTTATATTGGTTTATGAAGTTGTACAAAAATTCAAAGCCTTTCTCAAAATTGAAATGACTGAAATACGTTTGTGCGGGTTATGTGAAAAAAACATCGAAAGTCAAAAATTTGACGAGACAGTACCGAAAAAAATGTAGAAATTCAAAAAGCCGAAGAAAAAAAAACGAAAAGGTGTGGGTATTACTACGGAAGCGGCTGTTGTTTTTCTCTTCATGCACTGTCATTCACATCCTTTTAATATTCTTGCATTCAACAGTAATACAAAAAATCTATATTTTCTTGCATTTGGCAGAGTAAACTGATAAAAAAAATACAATGTAGGAAGATTCTCAACAGCTTCATTCAATATGTAGCATTTTCACTCTCGACTTTTTGTAACTTTACCATTCGTGAATATTCTAATTAGTAGATTTTTTGAGAGAATGATAATTACTCTGAAGGAAAGAAATCAAAGAGTAGAATCTAGCAAGATAATTTATCGAATATCGAAAAATTCGAAAGTGCGTAAAACAATCAATAACACAAAATTACTACCGAAGGTCATATTCTAACATTGGAATTATCAAAAAGAGCGTTTTTGACTTATGAGTCAATCTTTTGTGTATACGCTGTGAGAGTGTGGATAGGTTTGAGTGTGAGCCATCAGTTTATCTTACAGAAGTTGATTTAAAAGAGTATCTTCCAAGTTTATGATTACGAATGACAAAGAATATGAAAGCTAAAAAATGATTTTCAAATTAATAATGATTTTTTTTTTCTTTCTAATTATCCTATTTCTTTTGACTTCTTTTTTGCATCAATTTTTCTCTCGAGCTAAAGCAATAAAACTTCAGATCATAGTCGAAATGATATAATATAGATACTTTTAGTTACGAAATTTTTATCATTCTTCAATAAATTTATGATTAACAAATCACATATCTATCAACTAATCAAATTCCTTTTATAGTATATACTTTCAAGGTTTTTGTTTTCTGGATTTTCGTTTTTTAATCTTTTTCCTTTCGAGCAATTAACATTAATTCAATTTTTGATTTTTGCTTAGATAAAAATTTCTATTCGAAATGTCAAGAATGATAAATACTGATACATTAGTTTGCTATAGTCGTGCGATGATTAATATAAAAAGCGTGCAGTGATCAACGTATAACTTTGGAAATAATCAGCATAAGTGTCTCTAAGCTTATCGAGATATATAAGAATGCATTGAGACTCACTAAAGATATAATCCATATCTCCATCAAGTTTATTCTTAAGTCATATCAATGTTGAGAATAATAATATTAATAATATTAACGTAAAAAAAGCAGAATACGAAAAAGACACATAGCGAGCAAACAGCAACAAGATAAACAAAACTTAGATTGCCAGTAAAAACAGAAAAATTTTCTGTTCGAAATAGAAAAAAATCAATAAGATAGATCGTTTTCCTGGTGGTCGATTATCCTTGAAAAATGACACTAGTTTGCCAGAGATTTTTCGCATCATATATTCTATATTAGTATAATGAGGCTAAAGAACGTACATGTAAGTTTTACATCTTAGTTTCAAACAAGAAGTGATGATAGTCTTGTTTTTTCTTTCTAATAATTACATTTATCTTCTTCATAAAAGACGTCTTAGAAGAAGTTATGAATGTTTTCATGTAACACACTTTAGATAAGTAGAAATCTAACATGAAAAAATATCAATATGCGAATGCGTGCGTAGTTCATAGTTATGTTTTAAATGATGTATTATCAATGAATACAAAAATCTTGCACATTTATTTATAAAAACAAATGGAAAAATACATTCAAAAGAGCGAAGTAAAAGTGTATGTACATTGCAATAAAAAATAAACAGAATGAGTGATATCTCATGTGGTTTTATTGTTTCGTTTTGTTATTCTGTTTTTCTTGTCAAAGAATACTTACCATTTCCTACACACACACATTCTTACTCACAACACGTAAGAGCAAAAGAAAAATCCAAACAAGTAAAAGTGTGCATATGAATAAAAAGAATATTTCGTAAATATAATATTTGTTTTCTATTTCTCCATCCTTATTATTATCATAATGTCATGTGATTTGAAGTCAACTTATGCAACTGATAATTTACTCTTGTTAAGTGTTCGACAAGGAGACATCGATATATTGGAAGAATATTTGTCATTAATACCAAATTCTGATGAGTATCTTAATCAAATATTTGATGAAGAATACAATCAAAAATGTACTTTACTAATGATTGCTTGTTTGCATCGACATGATAATATAATTCGTATGATACTTCGACGTTTTAAACCTGATCTTGAAGTTACTAATGATATTTTGTTTGGAGATGGAAATAAAAATCAACAAATGTGTTTTAATGTTACAATTTTATGGGCAGCAGCAGCTACGAACAATTTTGAAATAGTTAAACTATTAGTCGAATATGGTGCTAATGTTAATCATACAACAAAAACAAATTCAACACCATTACGTAGTGCTTGTTATAATGGAAATATAGATATGGCTCGTTATCTAATTGAACATGGTGCTGATATAAATATATCTAAGGAAAATAATGATACAAATCTTGCAGTAAGTGTATACCGTAAACATTTAAAAATGGCTAGTTATCTCGTTGATGAATTAGGCTGCGATGTAAATATATGTGATAATGATGGTCGATCACCACTTTATGATGCTGTAAATTGTGGATCATTAGAATTAGTAAAATTTTTACTTGATCATGGTGCTCGTAATTTTCCAGCAATTTGTGATAAAATGTCTCCTTTAATGTGGGCAGCTGAAAAGAGACGAACAAATCTTGTAGATGCTATTGCTCCTCATTGTTCATTAATTGAACAGATTGAAGCTAAAGAATTGCTTGGTAGTGCTTTTGCTTGTGCTGATCTTGACGAACGTGATTTTGAAGAAGCATTTGAACATTTTACTCGAGCACTTCAATTAAGATCAATTCATAATCTTTCAAAAAAATTAAAAACAACTACA